AGCCAATCTACTCAACAACTAAGCTGAGTAAAGGGTAAAACGAGAACTGTATTTAATATAGTTAAGCTATCAATATAATTTTACTCTTTATCTAACTAAATTGAACTATATCGTCATATGACGACAACCTGCTCAACACTCATTGCGCGCGTCTAGTAGCGATTGGTGGTAAGCTATGGTTGAATATGTCTTACATAAACCAATCTTTAAGCAGCGCATTAATTTTATCGAAAGGGGATAATGTCCCTTCAAAATTATCCATCTCGGATTATATTGGTAGGATATTGTCATGCTAGACAATATTCCTATTGAAGCCGTTTAATGTCAATTTCATGAAAAGGGCCACCTCGTTATACGGCCTTGTAAATGGACCGGTAAAGACCTACATGTTCCGAGAGGACCTCTGTACGCTAGAAAAGGCGATAGCGTATGCCAAACAAGAAGACTTCAGCCTGAGACAGTCTCAGGCTGACTCGTCAAATTATCGTCCGACGAGACGACAGGAAACTGGAGGTTCCGAACCAATGGACCTCTGTTACACCGAGAGCGAGAACTCTCGCTCTCTGAGTCACAAGCGAACGGCAAGATTTCATCACTGTCAGAAGATTGGGCACTACGCTCAAGCGCGTAGTGTCCCAAGCATCGTAATACGTTCAAAGACAGGACGTGATGACCGCTTTTTGCCGAGGAAAGGTCCAAGCCGTGGGTCCGCCATGTCGCTAAGGCGCGACAGCAAGTCGGACCGACAAAAAACGGACAGGGTCAGTAGGGCGGAGCACCCTGCTGACCCAGCAACGTCAAGATAATTTGCAGGACTCTTGACGAAGATTGCACCCAACACAAAGTCGCTGTGTGTTACTGCTCCTAGTTATGAGGAGCCTCTCATCACTTTGAAGATCGAAGTGACAAGTAAAATGTCACTTCGCGCCCTATTTGACTGTGGGGCGTCGAGCAGTTTCATTCGACGCCAGTCACCAGAGGATAGTAAACTCAACTATGTTATGCGAGAGTTCCCTCCAACGAGGATGACGGTGTGCCTTGCTACAGGCGCATCCGTAACAGTGAACAAACGTGTAGTGGGAATCCACTACACGATAGAAGGAAAGCAGTACGATGATGACTTCATCGTACTAGACTTGGATGACAAATTTGATGTCATTCTCGGTCTGCCATGGCTTAGAAATTACCAGCCATGGGTTAGCTGTCAGCATCGATCCGTGAAGATGCCTGCAGTTTGTTCATCAGATGGCCATCTGATAAACGTCTTGGAGCGTCCACAAGCGTGTGAATGTACTACGAGTGAGTGCGATGTCCCCACTTGTGGTACGGTCGTTAGTATTACTGCACATGGTCACAGTGTAGAAGGCCACTGCACTGTGGAACCATCTTCCGGCACCTGTGTAGAGACACAGGCTGCGCCGAAGGCTCACCACTAGAAGAGATCGAGTGGACTGAAAGACGGATGCACACCAAGAAGGGTGCATCCGAGAAGAGAGATCAGTATTGTTCAGGATGAACAACCCGTTGAAGCAAGATCAACTATCAGAGAGTCGATCATAGAGCAAGCCCGATCGACTGAAAGAGAGTCGATCGAAGAGTACGTTACTGTGGTAGTACACCCACAGTCAGTACACGTCATGGAAGAAAGTTCCAGTGTTCCTGAGAGTGATAACTTCCGAGGGAGTTATGGTGAGGGTGTGGATCCCCAACCACCTGCGGATGTGTTTTCCCAGGAAATCACCGAGACAGTGAATGTTTTGGTAGGTGACGGATCAAGTGTAGGCGCTAATACACTTGATCTGGTTACACCTCCGAAGTCAGCTTTGAGGTAGTCAAGTTGCCAACGCTAGAATCTAAAATATACTTGCGAGATCTGCGTAGTGACAAGATCAAGCAGATCTGTGTACTCGTCACAAGGACGAGTACGTCGCCGATATTCGGTCGGCACAAGTGTTTGCTGAGAACGAACGGCTTTTCAGTAGCTCATCAATGGACGAGAGTGTCCTCGATGAGAAGACTCGGATTGAGCGATACACGTCTCAATCTTGAGACACTTTGAAGACAAATACTTTGTATGAGGATTCGGTAATATTCAGGCATGCTTTCCCGAATCCTTGCCATGCGAGCTGCCCAAAGACAAAGGCACTCGGCATGAGATCGAACTGAAACCCGGTTCGAAATACTGTGTCATGAAGCAGTGGCCACTGTCTCGTGAACAAGTCACAGCGATCGAAAAATTCTTTGCCGATCGCTTAGCGGCTGGTCATGTGATGGAATCAACATCCCCACACAGCTCTCCGACCTTCTGTGTGCGAAAAGCAACAAGAGGGTGGAGGATAGTGCACGCATTTAACAAGTTGAACGCTGCAACGGTACCGGCTCAAACGACGATACCAAGGAAGGAAGTCAGCATAGATGGTATGGTAAAAAGTAAAATCTTTTCGTCCATGGGATCTAATAGATGGATTCTATCAGATCCTCATGCGTGAACGGGACATCCCGTACACAGCATTTAGAACCCTCAGTGGTATGATCTGGGAGTGGCTAGTGATGCCATGTGGGCTAAGTAACGCCCTCGCAATGTTTAACAGATGTGCTACGAACCTGTTGCGATCGGTGCGCGATTTCGCACCGAGTTATTTTGACGATGCCTTCGTCCATAGCCGTGATATGGATGGAAAGACGAACGTGGAGGTTCATAGAATACACTTCCGGAAGTTTTTTACTCTAATGCGAGAGCATAAGTTGTTCCAGAACCTCAAGAAGTGTGTATTCGCAGCGAACGAAATACCAGCTCTTGGCTGAATCGTAGGTAAAAACGGTGTACGCCCTGATCCGAAAAAGATCAAGGCGAAAGGCTAATGGCCTGTGCCAGTCGACGTCAAGGGGCTTCGAAAGTTCCTTGGCTTGGCGGCGTACTTGCACAAGTACTCGCGCAACTACGCCGAGACGACCGTACATCTCTCTCGTCTGCTAAAGAAAAACGAGAGGTTTTCATGGAGTGATGAGTGTCAGCACTCTTTTGAAGGCATCAAGAAAAGCTGTATACAATCGCTTGTGTTGGCGATTGCTGACCAGGACAGACCATTACATGTGGTCTGTGACGCCAGCAATTTTGCAACCGGTTGCGCGTTAATGCAGTACGACTCAGACGGCGTTGAGCGTGTCGTCTGTTATCAATTGCGTCAGCTGCAAGCCGATAAACAAAATTATCCGGTGCATGACAAGGAACTTCTTGTCAGGCAATATGCACTGGCCAAGTTTCGCGTATATTCCTTAAGAGTTAGGTCCTTCATCATTTATACCGATCATGGGTCGTTACGCACGGCCGTAAACAGTCCACACCTCTCGCAAAGAATGGCAAGGTGGCTGTCTTTCTTCGCGGAGTACAACTTCTCCGTTGAGTATCAAAACTAGGACGACTTTCTGTCGTCGCTGATGCTCTTTCGCGTCGGCCCGATATCGAGCAGACTGCTCAACACCAAAGTAGGGGCGATCCCACTGTCGTGACACTAACAGTGAGTTATCCGTCGTCGAATCTGCTCGACGACGTGCAAAAAGATTACACAGAAGATGAGTGTATTCTGCGATTGATGGATTATGTATCCAATCCATGCAGCCAAGCTTTGAAAAGCTTGTCGTCTCAATACCGCTCTTCAACCGAACGGTATTCGGTTCATGATGGTGCGCTGTACTATACAGCAGACGACGGTGACACACCTCGTGTCGTCGTCCCGCTCATAATGATTTGCGAGTGCGCATCATGTATGAGTGTCGCGATGTCTCAACAAGTGGACATCGCGGTAGAGAAAAGACTTACCTCATCGTTAGTCGTGACTTCTACTGGCCCCGACAGTATGAGTTTGTGCACAAATAAATTCGTGCTTGCGAAGTTTGTCAACGGGTGAAGCCTAGTCCTTCATCCCGCGCACCCTTGCAGCTTCTACCGATTCCGGCAGAGTATTGGCAATCCGTATCGATGGACTTCGTCTTTGGGTTCCCCAAAGACGCTCACAAGAATACTGGTATTCTTGTGTTTTTTGATCGGTTCAGCAAGATGGTACATCTTGTCGCTGTAACGGAGTCAATCATAGCCTAGGGCTGCGCTCGTGTCTTCATTGATATTATCTTTCAAATTCACGGGTTAGCCCGTGAGTCGTGTCCGATAGAGACCCCCGCTTCACAGCGGAGTTCTAGAAATCCGTGTCCCGTTCACTTGGAACACGTTTGAAGATGTCGACTTCTGACCATCCAGAAACAGAAGGTCAGACGGAACGCGTCAACCGCGTCCTCGAAGAGATACTTTGAGGGCATTTCCACTCGTTTACGAGTTGGAGTGAGTTCTTGCCGATGGCGGAATTCGCCATCAACAACTCGGTGCACGCGTCGACAACGCATACACTGTTCTTCGTGAATGGCCTACGCCATCCACGTTTTCCCGCCTTCTTAGAGAGTGACTCTAGTTTAAGGGGGGGATCGCTCGAACAAAAACCGATCTAGTTCTTACTCATCATCACCCGTCGACGATGATGTCGGCGTGACGGATGCTAATGTCGATGCGATAGATATCGATGATAGTGATGACGAAGATGCTGGTCTATACAGCATCGCCAATGACTGTCAAAGTGAGGACTACGGCGCCCTCACTGGTGAAGACAACGTTCTTTCAGCAGTGCACACGGAGCTCACTGCTGTTGACAAGGATGAATCAGCAGAGGAATTTCTGCTGACTCGCGAAGCGGTTGTCCGCTTCGTTCAAGATTCTATTGTAGACTCCAGAGATAAACATAAAAGACATAAAGATAAACATGGCAGAGCAAATGTTCTTTTGTTTGATGAGGGAGATTTAGTTTTACTGTCTACAGTAAAGCTACCGAAACACGCAGTGACAAACGTGGGCAGCAGCAAACTACTGCCCAAGTATATTGGTCCATTTCGTACGCTGCGCTAAATGGGCAACGCATACAAGATTGAACTGCCCCGTAAGATGCGTGCACATCCTACGTTTTACGTTGGACGTCTCCGCCCATACTATCAGTACGAGTTCGTTTCGAGACGCAAAGAGCACCTCCGCGGTCGAGAGCCGAGATCACCCTCGAGTGGTCCCGTTTCAACGAGACAGTCTGGTCGACTAACGAAGCGAACTGTTCACGAAGTTGAGCGGTGTTTTGACGAGCTACAGCCAGCTCGTCACGAAGAGAACGAATCGAACGTTCGTTCTCAAGTTGTGCGTACGCAAGCGCAGCACGATCGTCCGAACTATCGTGCGTCGAGGAATTGTAATTATCCTTTACGAGTTCATGGAGCTCATTACGCCGAGTCCGTTCATGAGCCAGGTCATCTGGCAACTGTTCCGTCACACGGTTCAGCTCCTGAACATCAAGCAGATCCGACCCTCGAGCCGGATCAGGTGATCCCGCCGCCACCACATCCTTTTGTGGGCTCAGGCGGTGGTTAACGCGTTCTAGTGGAGCGTATTGTGAACCACCACGATGTGAATGGCGTCCGGACGAGTTACCTTCTCCGCTGGCGTGGCTATCCACCGACGTGGGACAGTTGGGAGCCTCGTGCCTAGCTGATTGTTGATGTCCTGGGTCTCGTCGAGCAGTAAGACGAGACCCACCCGCTGCTTTAAAAGAAGGGCTGTCGGAAAGTGATCTCTTCGAACGAGATTACAGGGATTGCAAGGTGTAATCCCTTCGGCCACCTCGGAAGAGATGCGCGACCTCCAGTAGGGATCATTGGAGAGGAAGGCCTCCATAGGGGCACGGTTCGATTTGTCCAGGCAACCTAGACACTAATCATCCCACGAGAGACAGGGTAATCCTGCCTCTCTTGACAGCCGATGCAACTTGTATCGCGCCCCGACTGGGCTGCGCTTCTCAACCCTGATGCGAGCTACCAAGCCATGCATGACGGCCAATGCACTCGATTTCATGGATGAGGGCATTCCATCCTTGGATCAAGGCCTTATTGTCTTGAACACGGCTACCACTGTACCACCGATGTTTAAAAAATGCATCGGTGAAGAATTCTTCCTCAGCACGGATAGTTTCCGTGCTGGAATTATATGGGAAAATCTCCCTCAAATCAAACAACGAGATTAGATCTCGATTGGTAGTCATGCCGGACAACCGGTCCAACTCCTTGGATGATGGCATCCAAGGAGAATCCACTTGAAGAGCGTGGCGCAGGACATTTCGGTCCCTAGCCTCTGGATTGGTGCCAGCATGAGCACTGACACCAGTGACACCTCGATCCCTCGAATTACTTCGCTCGTGGTGACGTATAGGTGAATCACCACCTTCCTTACGCGTTCTATCGTTGAATTCACTCGCATGGGGCGAGGATTCATCGGGACAATCTCTCGATCCAAAGATATCGAGTATGATGCCGCCACGTTCCCCAAAACTGGTCAACCTGGCTCTTGCAGTGTCCACCCCGGGTGATCCGGAGGAGTGAGGTGTCGCCTTCGAGTCGGATACATCATCTGAATCACCATAATAGATGAGATCTATCAAAGGATCATCTAGATAACGATTCGCGGTACCCGCTGCAGACGAAGCGGATGCACCTGTCGCACGTGGTGACTCACTACGTGGACTGTTCACAGCAGCAGGCGACGAATCACCTGCTGCTGAGGCGTGAGAGGTACTCTCTCCGGCTGCACGCATGCGTGCAGCTGCCTTTCTTGCTACTGCAGTAGCAACTCGCGTGGTTTTCGAAACTATGCGTTGGATTGGTAACTGAATGGAATTTGACCAATAAGTGCTCCCTTTCTTGGAGTGATCCAATAGTAGACACCCTGTCGCAATCAATTCCATTCAATCAACGGGTGATTGATGATTAAGGGGTGTGATGTAACGGGGTAGCTCGTTACATTAAATTGACACCAAACGGTGTCAATAGGAACATTGTCTAGCATGACAATATCCTACCAATATTATCCGAGATGGATAATATTGAAGGGACATTATCCCCTTTCGATAAAATTAATGTGCTGCTTAAAGATTGGTTTGTGTAGAACATATCAACCATAGATTACCACCAGTCGCTACGAGACGTGCGCAATGAGTGTTGTGCAGGTTGTCGTCATATGACGACATAGTTCAATTTAGTTAGATAAAGAGTAAAATTATATTGATAGCTTAACTATTTGAAGCACATATCTCATTTTACCCTTTACTCAGCTTAGTTGTTGAGTAGATTGGCTTCCTCTGTACGTACTAGTGTACGTGAAGTTTCGTGGCAACTAAACAAAGGGTAACTTGTTACAGGTAAAGCAGAAGCCTTAAAGCCAGCGATTAAAAAAGGATTTATGTGGGCATTCCAAGTGAAGCCTGATGATCATGGTTATTGCACTTTATGTCCAAGACTTGTGGGATTCAATGCCTATCAATGGATAGGAATTGGCTACGTCGAATCATTTTCGCCTGCAGCACAAATTCTTACCTTTATAGCGTTGGTGGCGCTGGCAAAAAAACTGAAACAAAGGATATGTTAAGGATGTAGTTAAGCTACACAGATGCTCAAGTCAGAGGAAGACTTAACGCTCAACGAGCTACTTAGTATTAAGAACAAGACTCAATGAGTCAACAAGCGGAAAGCTGATGTTCCCTGTTCCAGGAGACCAAACGATTCAGTGAATCGACAGCACTAAGTGCTCAATAGTAACTAGCTATCTCAGGGTGTTGTTACTAACTCTTAATAATCAGTGATCGACGACCAAAGACGCCTCGAAAGGCACGTGTCGTTAAGATCAAAAGGGAAACTGAATACTATCTGAATTGAAACCTATAGAATATCTTATTCCTAATCTGGACACTAATGTCCTAAGCTAGTACAACTAAGATCTTTCCTATCAGGTGGCTGACACCAGTCAGCTCCCATTGAAAGAGATCTATTATATCTTATAAACCGATTCCATATAATATATCTCTTTCAGTGGGATATCTTTCGAGTGTCTAAGACACAGGGTACCAAGTACCCAACTAAATGTAATCCCTTTACACCCTCAACCACCAGGCTGGCGTTTACCTAAACGTCAATTGAATCTTCTTCCAATCGAGCGTCCTCGTCAAACTTTGTCCTTATACGAGGTCAGTGCACTTGCGGTTCACCTCACGGGAAATTAAAACTGAGCACGATGTTATCATCACCCAAAGAGTAAAGAATCTCAGTACTTCCTCGAAATGGAAAAGGTATTGGACAATGGTAGCAATACCAGTTTTCAGGTTGATGCAGGGAAATGTACGATACACCCATGTCTGAGATACAATCTCGTACTGTCCCCTGTTTTTTTCCTGAACGTGAGGATAAAAATTTGCCTTTGGCACCACGCTTAATACTCGTTTCGAATGATCCCACTATCACGAAATTGCTGTATGGGCTCGCGAATTTATTTTTTCAACAAGAAGAAAGCTCTCTGCGCCTTGCGCAAATGGTGCAACCCTCGAGCACAAACGTGACTATGTATTCATCTCCTTTCAGTGTGGAGGATCGTTTGCGTCAAGCGACCAACCAATCGTTGGCAACGTGGATCATTGGACACAATCCTTAGTCACTCAAGATAGTGGCTAGAGGCCAGGCACTTCGTGAGAGGTACCTGGTGCCACACCGAACGACCCAAGGACAATACAATGCACGCCTTGACATGCAAGCACGTGGTGCACCGGTCCCACCAGCTATGGGGGTCTACCCTTTTTCTTGCTTGCAAGCAAAACCTAGATCGAAGCAGACAATGCCTTCGTACGCTAATTGCACCGCATACGTCGCCCCATCTATATGTGCTCTAAGAGCTGGTGACATTGTGGCTGATGCGCGTCTCGAACGCAAGCTTCGGGGTTGACTATTCCAAGCTTAAGACCAGACGCAAATTGCGGAATCGCACGCGACATGATTCGTTTACTACGGTAGCCGCGACTGAAAGTCAAACTATGACCCTTAACCCGCCAACCCACACCACTAGTGGTATAGAGCGGTCTCAGTCTTAAGATGACCTTGGCCACGATGTTCAACAACATCTAAAGCAAAAGGGAAATCTTGCCGTAGGGGTACCTCGTATTCCCATGAGTTCTCAGACTCAGGTCACCCATGCCAATTTACCAAATACTGGTATTGGCCATGACGACGACGTCGTTTCAGTAGTCTTTCGACGTGAAACTGAAGACGCCCATGCACACCGAGCAGCGTCGATGGTGGCCAGTGTACCGGTGGCAGTCCACGAGAAATTGCTTATTGAAATGAAGGGTCCTAAATATAACCTAGGAAGGTTCCAATGCATGCTTAATGCGATGCAAAGCCGCCTTCAGGCGATGGAGCGTGCTTAGACTCGGAGCGAGGCCCAGTTGGATTTGCTGATCGCTTGCTGCCATCCGGGGCACCGCCCTCGTCGTCACCGCCAGGCCTCAAAATTCACATGGAAAGGACCTTGGTACGGCTTAGGTAAGCCTGCTTAGAACACCGGGTATGTAACCAAATTTTCGTGGAAGGTTAAGCGGATACACAAGGTCCTTCTTGGTGGTGACTGTAAACGTTCCAATATATTGTGGACGCAACTTGGTCTCGAAGACAGCATACAATACATTTTTAGGTAGGTTTTAGCATTGAATAGTACTTGGCCTCCGACCCCACACCGTTCAATACAATTTCTGCCTTTGGAATCAGCACGTTGTTTTTGGGTATCTTGGCTATCAGCCATTGCGTCAAGCACATGTCTTAAGACATTTAATCGTGTTGCGAGAAACTCGCCTACCTGTTCTTGAACAGTAGCAGGGCTGATATCAGCAAACCGATCGGCAACCTTTCCCGCACCAAGCCCTGAGCCACAGAGTGGTAGCGTTGACGGAACGCGAGGGTGGGTGAGACCGTTTACGTAAAACGGAGTGAAGCCTGTGAAGTCATGAATAGCGTTGTTCAACGCAAACTCAACAACAGGGAGCATTGAGCTCCAACGCCGTGGCGTACCAGCGCAAGCACTGCGCAAAATGTCTTTAACGATGCGGTCAACACGCTCACTTTGACCATCGGTCTGCGGATGATTCGCTGTGGGCATGTCCGATCGGGTTCCTAGCATCCTATAGGTAGACGTCCAAAATTTACCGTGAATCGAGGATCTCTTTAGAGACAATAGCCGCAGACAAGCCATGTTGTCGAAACATACGATCGATAAATAGCGTTGCCGTGCCTTCCGCATCGTCCGTATTTGACACAGCTTCTAAATGAGCCATCTTGCTCAAACGGTTAGCAGACAACCATGCTAGTTATGCCTTCCGAATCCTTCGGTATTTCGAACACAAAGTACACACTCATGGACTCCCAACCCCAGTAAGCTCAGGCAGACTAGCCAGCGACGCAGCCGCAGGTGCTGAAAGTTTGACCCATTGTCACGTTTTGCACTTGCACACATAAGTACTCACCCATTTATATACTTTGGTCACCAGTAAGCCAGGCTCACCAATTCATAGGTCGTCTCATCGACAAGATGACCACTTAAAGCAGTATCGTGTGCCTCATAGAGGATTCGATGCCTCAACTCATTATCCTGAGAAACATAGTTACAAGGGGTATCATCAATATACTTGGGATAGCACAACAGGCCGTGATCAATGGAATATCGATGTAGCCTCGCAAGTAAACGTGCCGACAATTTTATGTCCGAGTCTTTAAACTCATCGCTCCCAAGAGGCCGTGGCCATTCTGCACATTGTTCATTCTTGGCAAAAGCCGCACGAATCAAGTCAGGGACTGCTGACGACAGTGCCGTAACATTGGCAAGCTCATGGTCAGGTTGGCGCGATAGCGCATCAGCCAAGGCATTTGCTTTCCTGGCTTATGCTTCACCTCAAAGTTGTATCCAGCAAAGAAGGACTTATAGAGACATTTTCTGAGAGGAATGCAGCGACTTTGTCGTAGTGCGCAATTAATCATGATCTGTATAGATCATAAATGGCTTTGAGCCAAGCAAAGGTGCTATGAATTTATACAAGACCTTATTTCGTAGCAAGCAGTTCTTTGGCCTGGACAATATAGTTCTTCTCAGCAGCTTCAAGCTGGCGAGACTCGAACGCAATGACGCACTCGTGTCCATCAACATCTGTTTGTAACAAAGCACTGCCAATGGCAAACCCAGATGTGCAACACAGACGACACTGAAGGGCCGATCATGATCGGGCAAAGCCAGTATTGGTGCATGAAGAAGAATTTCCCTAACCAGTCATAAATCATCGCGTTCGGTATTGCCCCAACGCCAATTCGCATTTTTTTAGGAGATTGGATATTGGCCTAGTTATGTTTGCGTAGTTCGCACTATACTAATGCAAGTAATTGGCAAAGCCAAGCCACTTACGTAAGTCCTTTGACCCTTAGGAACCGGCCAGTCGAATATGGCTTTTACCCTCGCTGGGTCCGCTCGAAGACCTCGCTTCCCAACAAGGCAACCTGCAAAGGGAATCTCTTCTGCTGCAAATATTCACTTGAAAAAGTCAGCGTACAATTATTCGTGCGCATGCACTCGAGAACCGCTCGTAAATGATTAATGTAGTTATCCTCATCTAATCGACCATTCTTTGCACGACTCTGGACAAAGATGTCGTAAAATTATGCTTCTGTGTGACCTCTATGAGGTCTAAACAGTAGCTTCACGAGGCGGTTAAAAGTAGCCGGAGCGTCATAC